GAGAAAGAGATAGGAAAGATATTACCAGATATTGGTGGGTGTAATTACCCGTAAATGAACCAATTTAACCTTTAAAAGCCGATTTCCTCTTGAATTGAATCTCGATTTCCATAAGCTAGCAAAAATAGGCATTAAACTTCCTTAATTCTTGATCCAAACCAATGCATAAGTGTATATCAAGTTATGTACCTAGCAAGGGGCACACAAACATTTCCATGAGAGAAAATCTAATCTAAAAAGAAAGGAAAATGAAAGCAATAAAAACCTCGGGTTACTTCCCGAGAAAGGCTTGTTTAACGTCCAAGCGAGACCACTCTAGTAAATAATATTGCAACGAACGCAAGAGCTTATCAAATGCACTACTACACATTTCATATGATAACAAGTAGGCAAATGACGGGAGGAGGACGTGCAACAAGATTATTGCACGTAAGTGAGGAGGAAGATGCTAAAAGAAGGAAGAAAAATCAAAAGAAAAATCAAGAAAATAAGAAGAGAAAGAAGAAGAAAAATAAGGAAAAGAATAAAAAGGCAAAACCTCCTCAAAATCTTTTTGGGTGGCACAATCACCCATTTCCTCAATAATAGGAGGATGAAAAGGAAGAGTCTCATCAAACAAGAGAAGGTCCTCAATAGACTCTTTGACAAAAGAAGGGAGGAACATGGGATAGTAGGAGATGTGGTCAAATTTCCTTGAGAAAGGGACATGAGGAAGGGGAGGAGAAACAATGGTCTCACAAAGCCTCACATCATGAATGAGGGCATGAAAATCAATCATAGAATCCTCAAAAGAACACTCATGACTCAAATCTCCCTCAAACAAAAACTTTCCAATAGAAATAACCTCATCACCCTCTCTATCACAACGATGAACAACAACTCCCTCAAGATCCTCAAAGCCTAGAGTCTCCAAACCATGCATGAAAGGATAAAGGTTTATCTCAAACTCATCCCTTTCCCATGAAGCATTGCCAATGAACTCTCTCAAAAGGCTATAATGATTTGCTCCACCTTCGATGAACATATGAGCCATAACCTCAAATAAGTCCAAAGACTCATGGATAGAAGGGTCACAAACATGCAAGGTAGACTCATCAAGATGGGGAAGGGGGTTGGAATCCTCAAAATCGACATTTTCTTCATTCACAACTCTTTCACCATCACTCGAGGGACTCTCAATCTCTCTTGATTGCTCAAACTCATCATCATCATCCTCATGAAATCCCTCATTCAAACATGAAGATGGCTCACTCACATCCTCACCAAGGGAATCTCTCAAAGGGGGTGAATAAGGGGAAGGATGGCATTCAAGCTCAAATGGGGAATGAAAAGAATCAAAATCCTCAAAAATCCTCTCATCACAAGAAAATCTCCCCTCACATTCACACCCTTTCCCTACATCATCCTCAAGAACACTCTCGCACTCCAAGTGAGGTACCTCACGTCCATCTAAATCAATCATAGCACTCATCACTTGGGCAAGCCTCACTTCTCTCAATTTGTGTTCCTCTTGAAGCTCTTGGAGTTGTTGGGTGAGATATTGCATTTGAGGGAGAATTTGGGCATCAATGTTATTGGGTTGAGGTTCATGATCAAAATCAAATTGCATATCATCAAAATTAGCACAAACCTCATCACAATGAGCATAAGAGGGAAAGGAGTTAACTTGCATACTTGGATCATCACAAGGCACATAAGAAGTATCAAGAGAATTCATGCAAAAATTAAAAGAATCTTGACATTGAGAATCAAAACAAGAAACATGAGATTCTCTATCATAAGAATCCCTAGCAAGCCATGTGAAGAAATTCTAAGCATCATGCATAGACAAATAACAAAATCTACCATTATTCATGTCCTCAACCATTCCCCTAGTATACTCATTCATGCCCCAATAAGCTATACCACAAGCATCACTAAGAGAACACCCATGGTAACTAAGGAAACCATCTAGTCTTTCAAAGTAAGCATAGAAGGGTTCACCATCAAATTGAGGAAAAGATAAGCATGCCATTTTTATACAAAGAGCAAAGAAAAGCAAACAAAAATTAAATAATATACAAGAACCTAGCTAATCTAATCAACACAAACTAATGAACGCCTTAGTCCCCGGCAACGACGCCAAAATTTGATCACGGGTTAGATAGGTCGTTAAGCTACTACCCTAACCAAATTAATCATTTATAATACCTAAACTTACACTAAACTAGTTAGTGGCAAGTAAAGGGTCGAACCACGAAGACTAAGTGCATCAATTTGTGCAAATTAGACTAGTAGGAAAGGTTGTGAGATAGAGAGAGATTAAACCAAACACTACTAAGAGCAAATAACTAAAACTAGGGAAAGTGGAATCCAATTACATCAATGCATTCAACAAAATCATACAATTAGATGAAAATGACCTCGATTAGGAACATCAACACATTTAACTCACTCTTGCACAATTAAGCATGTTAATTATCCTACTAAACTAATTCACTCTCGTGCAACTAGCCTAGTAAAGGTATGGAAGAATTTAGGGCTCTCAACCAACTCACTCTCGCACAATTGATTGAAAGCACAATTAAAAGCATAGAATCGATTAGCTAGAAAGATTCTAATCAATAAAAGCATCATCCATACACAATAATCAAGAAATAATTTCATACTAATCACAATCAATTTTTTAATTCATTAATATAACCTTCATCCAATTCCCTAGAACAAGACATAAGCTAACATAATAAAGATAGACATGGAAAACAAGGTAAAATAAGAATAAAAACAAGATCAAACAAACAAACTAAATAATCTACTCAAATCAACAAAAAAAAGAAAAAAACTAAGAATTAAGCAAAGCAATAAAGATGAGAGAAAGTTAGCGAATGCTCATTGAATAGATGAGATGAAGTTCCACAAATTTGCTTCTTCAACCTCTCAAAAACTTCATGGAAATTCAAGCTTTCTCTCTCTAAAACTACACCTAAACTAGAGAGAGAAAATCCTAATCTAACCTTAAGAAAGAGAAAAATAAAAGAGGCTAAACTAATCTAAGGTAAAATAAAATGTTGATTTAAAGTTAAGAGAAAATAACCTCCAAAGGGGGTATTTATAATACAAGTTAAAAAAAATAAAAAAATAAAACTAATTAAAACTAAATTAAAAAACAAAACTAAAATAAAATAAAATAAAAGAAAATAAAGTGGAAAATAACCCCAAAACCCCCAATAATTCTCACCAGACCAACGAATTTCATTTCGTGGCTGCTCCTGATTTCCTTCATCACCATCACCACACATCATCATCCAACCATCATCTTCACCGTAAATCAGCATCATCATCATCTAGCATCAAATCGTGGCCATCCAATTTTCATTAAAATCACGTGAAAAGCTCGTGATTAACCCACATTTGCGCGCCCGCGAAGACGTCGCGCAGAGGTCGCGCAAACTTACTGCCTCAACTCTGATTTTGGACTCCATTTTTGCGCCTTCTGACAGTGTTGCGCGGCCACGAGTAGCTCCAGTCGAATTGGGGCTAAATTGGGCTGTTTCGTATTGGGGGTTGCTTTGTATTGGAGGCTGCTGCTGTTTCGGTGATTGAGAACGGTGGCGCGGCTGGTGGTTTGTGATGGTTGGTGGATGCGGTGAATTGGTGGTATAATTTGTGAGTGGTAGAGACTCGAATTGGGAGTTGGCTGGTGGTTTGGGTTGCTGTGAGTTGAGGGGTTTAATTGGTGAGTGGTTTGGTGGTGATTGATGGTTGTTTTACGTGAGGGAGCAGGGGATTGTGGTGGTGATTGCTGGTGGTTTTGGCAGTGGCTGGTGCTGTGGGTTGCGAACAAAGGTGGTGGTTTGCATGGCTTCCTGTCATTGTTGGGTTGTTGTGGCTGGTGGTGTGTGGTGGTAAGAGAGTTTGTTGTTGTTGTTGGTATTGTTGAGGAAAGTAGGTAGCAGGGGAGAATTGGTGGGCTTCTGGTGCGGATTGGTGAAGGGGAATTGGCTGGAGATACGGTTGGTGGCTAGAGGTTTTGGTGTTTATTTGGTGGCTGGTTTGGGCTGTTTGTGGGGTTGTGAAAAGATGAAGCAGGGGTTGCTGGTGGTTGTTTGGTGTGTGGAAAGCAGTGGAGCAGGGGAGAATTGATGTGAAGAGGGTGTGGTGTAGGTTTTGGTGATGGTGGAGTGAAGGTTAAGAGGGCAGCAACTACGAATATGACTTTGAAACCCGGAACACATACAACCAAAATCACGAGGGTATTACCAAGAGATAAAATAAAATAATATAAAGATAAAATAAAATAAAATAACTTAAAAATAAAATCAAAAGAAATTAAATAAAATAAAATAAAGAAAACAAATATGAAAATAAAATAAAATAATAAAATGAGAGAAACTAGGAATTATTAACTAAAAATACGAAAATAAACTAAAAACTATTAAAAACTACTAAAATACTCAAAATAAAGATAAAAGACGAGAATAAGCAAATAAAAGAAATAAAGGACAAAATGGGCTAAATTATTGGAAAATAAGCCGGAAAGCGAGTCAATAAACACCCTAAAAGTGACATAAAAGTCACTTATCAAGGCCCTCCACCCGGATTTGATCCAAAGACTCAAGTTGATAATTCCTATTCACAATCCTCTTCTTCTAGGACTAATTTGGAGGAAATCATTGAAAATCAAACAAAGTTGTTGAGCACTTACATGACCGTAAGTGACAAGAAATTCAATGAGGTGATGACTCATAATAAGATGCTTGAAAACCAAATTTCTCAACTTGCCAATGCTTTGAAAGACCATGCTAGTCCTTCTTCTTTACTTTTGCCAAGGCTTAGATCCCAAGAGACCCATGAATGCTATTGTTACAAGAAGAGGTGAGAGTGGAGAAAGAGATTGTGAAACCCAAGCTTCCATATCCACAAAAATTCATGATCCATAAGTGGATGAACAATTTGGAGGATTTATTGCTATGCTTAAGCAACTTCATCTTTCTTTACCTTTTACCGAAGTTGTTACCCAAATGCCCAACTATGAAAAATTCCTCAAAGACATTTTAAGTGGAAGAAGGTCTTATGATGTGGTGGAGACGGTCAACTTGACTGAGAATTGTAGTGCAATTATAGTAAACAAGATGCCACCCAAGTTGAAAGATCCCCGAAACTTCTCTATCCCTTATGCCATTAACAAGATGCAAATTGATAATGCCTTATGTGACTTAGGAGCTAGTGTTAGGGGAACTTATGCCTTCCAAAATTACCTTGCAATTGGCCGATAGGTCAATTAAAATTCCTAAGGGGAAGGTTGAGGATATTCCTTTGAGAGTAGGGAAGTTTGTGATTCCGGTAGATTTTGTGGTTCTTGAAATGGATGAAGATGATACCATTCCCATTATTCTTGGTATACCTTTTCTTGTTACCTCGGGTGCTATGATTGATGTTAAGAGTGCAAGAATTTCACTCAAGGTAGGAGATGAGTTTATTGAATTTGACTTGAATGAAAGCATGAAGTATCCATGTTCTTCTTTAGAAAATTTCATGTTAATTGATTCTCTTGATCTTGTTGTATCTTCCATGCATGAGCACTTGCTCACTTATAATGATCCTCTTGAGAATGTCTAGTTGAACAAGGATAAGATATGTGCTCCAAGGAAGTGGAAATGTATGAGGATTTCCTAAATTGAAGCATTGAGGAAGTGGATGAGCATATGTGCATGAATATCTCAAGCCAAGAAGCTTTGCAAGCCGCCACTTCAAAGAAAGGTAAAGGTGTACCAATGGTTGAGCTTAAACCTTTTCCATCGCATCTTAGGTATGAATTTTTGGGACCCAACTCTACTTTCCCCGTCATTGTTAGCTCTGCTTTGAGTGAGCACCAAGATCAAAAGTTATGTGTTGTTTTGAGAAAGCATCAAGGTGCTTTGGGATATACCATTGATGACCTCAAAGGTATAAGCCCTACTTTGTGTGCACATCACATAACTCTTGACGAGGGTACTCTACCATCCATTGAGAGGCAACGAAAGCTACTTCCCCAAATGGGAGAGGTAGTGAAGAAGGAGATCACCAAACTTTTATATGCGGGAATTATATTTCCCATTTCTAATTCTAGGTGGGTTTCTCTCGTTCACATTGTCCCAAAGAAGGGAGGTATGACCGTCGTTGAGAATGAGAAAGGTGAGATCATTCCAACGAGGACGGTCACGGGACGGAGGATGTGTATAGACTATAGAAGTCTAAACACACCTACAAAGAAAATATCATTTCCCCTTTCCTTTCATTGATCAAATGCTTGAAAGACTAACAAGGCACAAGTACTATTGTTTTCTTGACGGTTATTTGGGATTTTTCTAAATTCCTATTCATCCCGATGACCAAGAGAAAACTACTTTTACTTGTCCCTATGTTACCTTTTCCTATAGGAGATATATTATAAGCCCAAATCCGAGTTATAACGAATAAGTTATGGCCAAAATATTAAGCCGAGCCCAAACCGAACCTAAGCCCACCTTACCTACGACCTAATGATCATATGGAGGGTCCAAAATCTTTAATCCCAATCTTAAACCAATTAGAATTAATTAGAAACTTCTATAAGTTTCTAAAAGATCTTAATTATCCTTTTTAAAAAGATAAGATTAAAGAGTTTGAAATTGAATAAAACTCTTCTTTTTGAAAATCCTATTTCTATCTGAATTGAAAGACGTTCAAAGATAGACAGATATTATTATCGTGCCTCATATTTTTTATCCAATTTTATATGGTTGGATATCCCTTGAAATTATCTTTCCAATTATATATTATAATATCAATTCCGAGCTATAACGGAAAAGATATGAATAAAATGTCAAACTCTATCCAAAACTGACACCGTCTCACTATTTCGGATATATCTTTTGTTATACAAAACATTCTAATCTAATTCTAATATGGTTAGAAAGTATACTTCAAGAGATTTCCAACGTTATCTTATTTTTTTTATTCCAATTTCTAGATCAAAAGATATGATAAAAACAAAAACCGCAAAAACTGCTGTCTATCGCAAGAGTTTTAATCCGGTTCGAACTCGATCTTTTCTTGATTCTTAGACCCTCTTTTTTCCCTATAAGTAGAGGTCATATCACCCCATTTTCAATAATCAACAAGATTGATCATAAAATCATTATCTTCTCCCTCTTTATCCTAAACACTAGCCTCCCTGTTTTTTTCATTCCTTCCTTAAGCACTCCAAGGAGTTCATACAATACCCAAAGTTCTATACTTAAACCAAGGCGAGAAAGGTATAATTAACTGAGGGTTTGGACCAAATAAAATATACCTTTACTTAATTTAATTTTCATTTGATTTATATATTTATTGAAGTTACTAATAGTTTATTCATGATGTAGCAATTCAAGGAAACGCGAAACGTGAGTAATTAATTCACTTAATTACTCTTATTATTTTATATTGCTAGTATCATGATTAGGGTTATTATTATTATTTGATTTGACTAACTTTATTATGGTTAGATTGCTTCAAATATTAATGTTTATTTTATTATATTTATTGATCACCATATTGCATGTTTAAAGGGAATATGTAATTGAAAACCACGCCTAATAAGATAATTTGGATGACTGGTTTAGGTTCCTTTTTAATCTTGTTATTTAATCAAGTGATCACAAATATTTTATAATTATATGTTGCATTAATATTCAACCAATTTAGCATAATAATAGTTTGGAGCAAATTGAATATTTTGTTTGTATTCCTTTGAGATCACAGGAATCGCTTTTCACTATAAGAATCAAGTAGAGGCCAATACGGGTGAATGTATGTGACTCCATGACTCACTTCGTACCATCATCCTTGATCTTCCTTTTGTGGTTCCGAACCATATGGAGTTAGTAATCTCATGGATTGTGAATGGGGTGTAACCTTCACGGGTCAATCGTTGTTGCCTATCTTTGTCCCTTTATCTTGGTTGCCTTTTTATGATCCGTGAACGGTTTACAAGTTCCTTAAAAACTTGTTGGCGGCTCCCTACTTTCCTTTTCCCTAATCGTATATGTCAATTCCCACTTCCTATGAGTTCCAAGCATATTCACCATATGCTTTAACGTAGGCGCACTTCAAACGACGCCTACAGTAACATTGACATGTTATGAGAAAGAAATAGTTCATTTGATAAGAAAGGTAGAAAATGGGCTAAATAGAAGTCATATAGGCCATATTTGGGCCATTTTTTGTTAATATGATCTTTTGATGTGATTTCTAACCTTATACACCTAAAACTAGATAATATTGACATGTTATGAGAAAGAAGTAAATCATTTGATAAGAAAGGTAGAAAATGGGCTAAGTAGAGTCATGCATGTAGGCTATATTAGGGTAATTTTTGGTAAAATGCTCTTTTGATTCAATTTTAAGCCTTAGACACCTAATACTAAGTAATATTGACATGTTATGAGAAAGAAATAGTTCAATTGATAAGAAATGTAGGAAATGGGCAACGTAGAAGTCATATAGGCCATATTTGGGCCATTTTGAGTAAAATGCGTTTTAAAACTTAATAAAATGCTCTATTGATGTGATTTCAAACCTTAGACACCCAATAATAGCCAACATTGACATGTTATAAGAAAGAAATAGTTCATTTGATAAGAAATGTAGAAAATGGGCAAAGTATCCTATAGGCCATTTTTGATAAAATACATATTGTTTAGCCTATTTAATTAATTCTAACATAATTTTTCTATATTTCAAGTATTTTAAGGTACAAAAGGATGGTCCTTTGACAATCAAGGATCTTAATGAAGTTCGTGACATGTTGGCGTCTTTTATCACCTTTAACATGTAAATGTCACTTTTATTGTGAATTTATGTTTTGTTAACTTTTTAACTATATTATTATTCAGTAATTACTTACTATCCTTTGTGTATATATATAACACTTTTTTTTATTGTTTTGCATTTGGGAATATTTATATCTATATATGAATTATTGTTTTTAATATTATTTGTATCTTATTATAATATTTAATAATATTATTATTATTGGTAATTATTATAATAATATTATTAATTATTTTTGTTAATATTATTGCAGGAATTACAGGCCTGAAAACAGGTTATTATTGCTGGATTTATAGGATTTTTTTAATATTATTAAAAGAAAACAGGAAAAAACAATATAAAGTGAAATGACACTACCACCCAAAAAAAATTGCGCGGCTTTATTATTGGCACCGGTTAACCGGTGGCCAAAATAAATAAAAGTACCGTTAACCGGTGCCAAAACCGATTTATACCACCGGTTTTGAGCCGGTGGCAAAGTGGGGAGGTATTAGCACCCCCCACATTGTGACCGGTTCAAACCGGTGGCTTAAATCGGGTTTGAACCGGTGCCAATCATGTTTATTCTACTAGTGACATACTCTAATCTCTGTCAAACTAGACTTTGAGGTTACTAATAATACAGCGGAATGCAAAGCGTGCATTATTGGATTAGAAGCAGCAGCTAGCATAGATGTGCAAAAATTAGAGGTATGTGGAGATTTTAGTTTGATTATAAATCAAATATTTAAAAAAAGGATAATAAAGAACTCCACAATGATATTATACCAAGCACACCTAAAGCAACTCATCGGGTATTTTGAACATATTGATTTTAAATATCTCCCAAGGGATGATAATCAATTTGTCGATGCGCTAGCAAAATTAGCCTCAGTGATCAACATCCCAGATCACTTAAATATGATGCCATTATGCGTTGATAGAAGAGAAGAACCAGCATATTGCAACGCAATAGAGGAAATAAATGACATCGAAGGAGACAATCCTTGGTATGATCATATCCTCCAATATATTACCCGTGCCACATATCCTGAAACTACTTCATCAAAAGACTAACGAGCCTTGAGAACACTCGCGGCCAAATATGGTCTGCTAAATGGTCAATTATGCAAAAAGGGGCCTAATGGTCAAAGCTTATTGTGTATAGACCAACCAAAATCCACACGCCTTATGGAGAATACTCACAAAGGTGTTTGTGGACATCACATGAATGGTAAAATGCTTGCTAAAATAATTTCACAATAAGGGTACTATTGGTCTACTATGGAACACGATTGCATACAATATGTTAAATGTCCAAAGTGTCAAATGTTCGCTAACTTACAACACCTTCCACCATCCAAACTATACAATCTCACTTCCCCTTGGCCTTTTTCGACTTGGGGAATTGACATAATTGGTAAAATTTCTCCAACAGGAGCAGGAGGGCACGAGTACGTATTAGTAGCCATCGATTACTTTACCAAGTGGATTGAGGCTGCATCTTACGTGAATATCACTTCTAAACATGTCGCAAAGTTTCTCGAAAGAAACATATTTTGTAGATATGGAGTTCCACACAAACTAATTAGTGATCAGGGATCTCAATTTAAAGCTGAAGTTGAGACCCTCTTGACTCGTTATAAAGTAAAACATCATCACTTATCTCCATATAGACCTCAAATTAATGGAGCTGTAGAATTGGCAAATAAAAATATAACAATTATCATTAAGAAAATGGCAGAAAATTATAATGACTGGCCGAATAAACTACACTTCGCTCTATGGGGTTATAGAACGTCCAT